CACTGAGCCTGGGCAGGGTCACCATGTGGAGAGCTCAGGAAGACAGTCACCTGGAGCACCCATAGGAGCTCCCTCCTACCCCTGTGCCCCCTTGTTGCTGGGAGGTCATGGGTAGGAGGGTGTCAGGGTCTACCCGGACTGTTGCCAGTCGAGCTGGGTCTCCTGGGAGGGCAGGGACAGCTGCCTAGAGCGGTGGGCGCTCTGGGGCTCCACCGGCAACCCTGCAGAGGGGACCCGGCTTCGTGCTGTGCAGTAGCGGACCCCTGGCATCTCCACCCCGGCCCAGGAACCGGATGTCGGGAAGGGACGGAGCCGTGAATACAGGGCCTTGTTGCGGAGAGGGCGCGGAGCCATCTTGAGGGAGAGGCTGTCAAATTCTGGTCCCGCCTCTCCTGGGCAGGGCGTGGCTGGGGCTTCGGAAGAGAGACTGAGGTGGGAGCTGTCCGGCCAGACACGCAAGCAGCTTGTCGATAGCCTGCGGGGCCATTTCCTCTACCCTCCCCGGCCTCCTCCGGAGGGAGCGGTGAGAGGGCAAACGCCGAGCTTCCTGCCTTCCCCTCCAGTCCCCTGCCGTAACGCCCACCACTTTGGCCACCGCTGGCCGGCCCAGACCTGCGGGGCTCTACAGCCCTTGGCACTGGGAGGGGCAGGGCGCTCCCGTTGCCTCAGCAGCGCTGAGTCCCGGGCTGCTCCGCGCTGCCAAGGCCACGCCCCTTAGCGGAGGCTGGCTACTTCCCGGAACTCCGGGATCCGAACCACTGGAGGCCTGGGTCCCTGGAGACATGGCTCCGTGGTTCCGTGCCCGGGAGCCTGCGACCAGGCATCAGGGACGGCAGAGAGACAGCTCTTGGGGCCAAAAAGTGGGGGCTGGTCTCCAGCTCCAGGCCACGCTTCCCCAAAGACCGCAGCTCAGCTGCACCCTGGGCTGGCTAAAGAGAGGAGGGGCGGGAATGCTCCCCCCCCCCCCCCCCCCCGTCCCCATCATACCGGGACTGGACCCTTCGTCCAGCCGCCTCCCTCCCGCGGGAGCACGAGCATGGGCCTTGTCTAGCTGGTCCCCAGCCATTGGACTGCCTGGCTGGGTGGCACATTCCTATCTCCTGAGTTGGGGCACCCCGCGTGCCCGGGGGCAGCCTCTTCTGGAATTTTGCTGCCACCCGGCCCTGCCTCCACCCCACCCCGCTCCTGGTATCCTCAGCTCCCTACCGTTCGCTGCAGGGTCCCTTTTCCCAAGTCTCCTCAGAGTCACCTACTCAGCTGGCCCCTGTGCACTCCTACCTGGACTACACAGGCAGTTGAATTTAATGCCCGCCTGTGGGTCTGGGAAGGGAGGCTGTATGCCTGTTGAGCAACTGTCCTTTGGCTCCCCTGGAACCCTGTCCAGGGTGCAAGCACAGGAGAGCGAGAAGGGACTTCAGTCGCCACGGGAAGGGACTCAAACTTGAAATCAGGAAGTTTCCTGCCCGTGCTGGGTTGCTCTGTTCGTTAGAGAGCTTCCTAAATCAACCAACGAATGCGTACATGAATGGAACAACAAATCAGTGTTTCTCTTTTTCTCCCTTCCTCTCTCTAAAAGTCAATAAAAATTATTTCCCAGTCCTAAGCATTTCAGTTTTAATTAATGTATCAGATTGTTAATATGTTGATTTTAGAAAAACCTAAAAATACAGGAAAATATAAAAACTCCCTAATTCCACCCCTAGGACATAACCATTGTTAACATTTTTTTGTAGACATACAATCAACATGATAAATATAAATATAGAATATGGAGTTGTGCTGTGTATTTGGTTTTGTAAGGCACTTGGTGGTTTTAACAGTTCTCACTACATGGGTTTATTATGGACTTGGAAAATATGACAGGTCAAAAGAAAAACAGTTCTCATACTCCCAGTCCTCAAAGGTAGCCACATTTGACTGTTCATGCTGGTTTTGGTTTGGTGATTTTTGTTTGAGTACACCACTACTTCTCTTGTAAATACCATTTGATCTTCTTTCTCACTTAATGTTGAATATCATGCTCCTTTTTCCTGAGTTGGTGAGAGTCTTGAGAGAACTGGAGCCACATTCTTGGGAGAGCTTCAGAGATGAGTCAGACTGGGCAGTCACTTTGGTTTTGTTCATCTTCTCCCCACTACGGACCCCAGGAGCCCTTCCCCATTGCCACTAACTCTGATAGCAGCTTGGGCTGAGGGGGCCTGCTTGCTGGGGCCCAGGAGGCCCTCCAGCCTGGGCAGGGACATTGAAGACGTATGGGCCCAGTTGCTATTTAGACTCCAGTAGCAAGGGGCTCTAATTAGCCCCAGATGGGCAAGTCTGCAGCAAGACCTCAGCCTCATCTGGGGTCTCCTTTGCCCAGCCCCAGACTCAAAGACCCCTTGTTGGTCCTGTTACCTACCTGCTCCCCCTCTCTGTCTTAGAAACCAGTTTCTGCTGCCCTGGGCTCCTCAGCTTCTCCCTGGGGGGCATGCGGGCCTGGCCCCAGGCATAGCCTCTGCTCAGCTGCCCCTTGGGCCCAGCTACAAGCCGCCCTTACTCCCGCATGTCCCTGCTTTTAGACTTTCTCCCCCATTCCTGAACAGTTCAATTACAACACATCCAAGCCCTGCGTGAAACAGGCCTTGAAAAATCACAGTTGCCAGGGATGAGTTGGCTTTCAAAAAGCATCCAAGGCTTGCATGGGGGAGCCGATGAGATAAGAGAATGCAAGGCACTGTTCCTGAGCAGCAGCTGGATCTAGTGGATGGAAAATCACAGAGTGCCCCTGTCCCTGGGAATAATGTCCTGGGAAGAGGGGTGGCTGCTGGGACACCAGACCCCATGCCCCACCAGCCATCACCTGCTACCGGCACTGTGTGCTCTCTGAGATAAGAAGATATGGATGGAGGTTGTGAGCCCACAGCCAACCACCCTGTAAATTATATTCTCTGAACAGGTTTATTCATTTATAAAATATTTAAGACCCATTTTGCTTTACCTATAGCAAGGAGACAGTCAGGTGGGGCTGAGATTGATGTTCCGAACATGATTTCTATCTGGATTCACTCTTCTGGGCTGGGTGCTGCCTTCCCCGGGGAACTGTAACCAAGTGGCAGGACAAGTGTGTGCCTGGGCTCCTGGCCCGTGTGTGGGCAGCGTTTGTCTATGCCTGTTTTGCAGGGTTCTGTACATGGAAGGGGTGGTGGTTGTCCGATGGGTGCTGCATCCAGGCACGTGTGTGAGCAGTCTAATAGACTGTTGAGTGTGTGCCTGTATGTGTGATATGTGTAGAGCAGGGGGTCTGCATTTGTGACTGGGACCAGTGTGTGGCTGTCTGTGTCTGGGTAGGGGCTGAGCTGAGGGGGCGGGCTTGTCTGAGCATGTCTTGGCTGCTCAATGTATGGTGGTCTCCACAGTGCTGGGCGGGCAGGGGGTGTGCTCCTCTCTGTGTATGCAAACGTGTCTGCATTTGTGGGTGGGGGGGCCTAAGTGTATGCCTGGGTGTCGTCTGTATGTCCTTTTTTGTGAGACCTGTTCCTATGTGTGTATGGAGTATGGCGTAGGACTTTTACCACCCACAGTGGCAGGGTTGCATCTGCTCCCCCAGCCCTAGGCACCGAGAGGAGTGGGGTGCCTGGCAAACCTGAATCCTGTGACTCTGGGCCTCAGGTTCCAGGAAGGCTGGGCTTTGGGGGCTGAACGAATACTGACAATGTCTGACCCTCTTCCAGTGGAACTGGGTCTCCCCTGCCCTGTGGCTCAAAGACTAGGAGGACCTCAGTGGGCAGGACGGTTCAGGCCCACATTTCACAGATGGGGAAACTGCAGTCCAGAGGGCATACAGTCTGTTAGCGGTCAAGCCAAAACCCCAGTGCAGACCATGGCTCTCACTCTAGTACTCTGCTCTGGGGCAGTCCCTCCCTGGGCCTCAGTTTCCTCTTCTGTGGCACTGTGGTGAGTTCCCAGGCCCTGGTGCTCTTCTTGTGCAGAGCATTAGGACCAGAGCTGCCATGGCCCAGATTTGGCAGGGGCTGGCCAAGGCTCGCCCAGTTGACTCCAGACAGAAGGCAGGCAGCAGGGATGAGGAGTGATGGGAAGAGGGGTCCCCGAGTGCCACCAGCCAGTCCCAGCTCTGGGACTGACTCTGCACTTGGGATGTTGTCTCTGTCCCTTCCCTAGCTGCAGCCCCTGGCCCAGATGGGGCCCAGTAGCCCGGAAAGTGGGAAAGTAGCCAGCATTTGGTTTTCTTCAGCCTTGTGACAGCCCTCAGCTCCCCCTCCCCACCACCTCAGCAGCTAATGCATCTGTCACTACTTTCCTAATGAGGCTGCTGAGGGCCCCTCTGGGACAGATACCTTTGCAGGCTGGCCAGTGACTGAGGGGGTGGGTCTGTCTCAGGGTCAAGTTGTGAAGAGGGGGGCCAAGCCCTTCTCCTGCCTGCAGCCCCCAGCCAGCTCAGTTCTTGGGGGCATCAAGGCCCATCTGGGCCCCTGAGCCAGCTGCATGAGGGCCCAGGGTGCTGGAGGGACTTGGGAGGCAGGAGTGTCCACACTAGCATTCATTGTTATTTGGCACTGTAACTGTTCATAGTAATAATACTTCATCTGCTCAGCAGATATGCTTGCAGCCTGCTGTGCCAGGACTGAAATCAGCTATGATCTGGGTGTTCATAATCCCTGCCCTTGGGGAGGTGTGGCCAAGGGGGAAAGACAGTAACCAAACAATCAAGTTATTTGTGTCATTACACATTCCTGTATGGGAATGCACGTTCATCACAAGCCAAGACAGGCATGCAAGCACACGAGGAGCTTCTCTGGTGGAGGGAGGGAGTCCTGTCCCAGCTGCGGGGTGCTCCCAGGCGCCTGGAAGGCACAGCCAGGACTTGCCTGAGTCAGGAGCCAGGATCCTGGCTGTGGCCCCAGACCACTGCCTACCTTCTCTGGGCTCCGCAGGTGTCTGTGTTCCCTTCCAGCTCCATCATCTCTGAACGGAACTCAGACAGCCTGTATCTCCTCTTCCAGGGCCCTCGAGACATCTGCTGCCAACAAGCTAGACCGTGGAACGCCCGCGGCATTGCCCCAGGGGACGCCTGGAGCCACAGAGCACACCGCTCCTGCCTCAGGCTCCAGCTGCCATTCTGTCTCAGCCCTTTTGCTCTCACAAAGTCACCCACTGGGCTGGGCAGAAGGAAGCCTAGAAGAGATGAAATTGGAAAAGCAGTTCCTGTTGCCCTGCAGTTGTAGAAGGAGGCATTTGTTCATGCACTCATTTGCTCACTCACTGGATGAGTTTATTGAGCAGCTATTAATTGCCAGGCACTGTGCTGTGTGTTAGACCGAGGAGGCAAACTGACTGTCCTCCTGCCACATCCTGCCCACAGACCCATTTTGAAGGCCCACTCAAATGTTTGGGGAGAAAAAAACAAATGAATTGGCAGTGAGCAGTCCTTGGGTGATTTCACCCCAGTTTCCAGCTTACAGCTCATCTTCCCTCCAGGCTCTGATTGGTGGCGCAGACTAGTTTGGTCTAGTTTGCATGGCAGGGCCTCCCTGGAGCCACAGTGCCACTCTTCCCGGGCCACCCCTCCCAGCCCTGTCGTGTAGCAGTATGGTCAAGAGCCCAGCTTCAGGGGCCAGGCTGTCCATGCTCAAATCCTCCCCTTGGCTTTTCACCAGCCATGAGACCTCAGGTAAATCTGTGCCCCTCTCCAAGCCTCAGTTTCCTCCTATGTAAATTGGGTAACAGTAGTAAGTACCCATTGGCTCCCAGAGTTGCCGACACCTCTCCCAGATAGAGACACCTGCCCCTCTCTGTTGGATTCCCTCCCTCCCCCTCCAGAGGCCTACTCTTGGGGCCTGGGCTGGGCACCCTGGGGTTGGGTTCAGGACCATGCCCCCACCCCAGGCTGGCCTGCCCTAGCAGTCCGGTGAGAGCTGGTAGCCTGGGTCCAGCTCCAGCTCTCAGGTGGCTATCCCCACTGCCCCTCCTGTGTTTGCCTACTGCCCTTGGGGGGGGGTGCCACATTCCAAGGGTCTTTTTAATGCTTAATGGTGATGAAGGGGTGCGTTTAACTATACCTATGTAGGCCTGGCAGCAGGGGGGGCCTGAGCCTCGGCCCAGCCCCTCTCACCTTCTGAGTGCAGAGCTAGTGGGAGTAGCACTCAGGGGCGGGGCAGGGTCCTTCACTGCATGTATCGCCCTCCCTCTGGCCTCTTGGCCCTGGTAGTCTCTGGCTTGGCATTCAAGGTGTTTGGGGACTAGCTGCTGCCCACTGACCTGGTGCCACCCTGCTCTGCACCAACAGTAGTTGTGGTGGTCACTCATTGTGTGCCAGCATCTTGGAGGGTGTCCCATGTGACCACTGAGAGGTCACCAGAGGCCTTTCAGAAACTGTCCCCACTAACTGGAACAAGGGCCCCCTCTCCCTCTCAAAAATCCATCCCTCCCCCTCCAAAAGGAGCCGTTGTCCCCCTGGGATCTATCTGGCTCCTCCCTTGAGTACAGCAGCCCAGGGTGAAGGGTGTGCCCTATCCCCTGTCCCCACAGTCCCTTAAGGACAGTCTAGTCCGACCACCCCCTCTCTGTACTAACCCCAGGGTGGCCCAGGGCCAGGGCCACAGTGTTGCCCTGAGCCCCCCACATTACTGGCCAGGCAGTGGTGGGGAGTGACGGGGGCCTCAGGACGAGGGCTCCCTGTGGGACCTGCCTGTGCTCTCCCCACAGCCATGTGCACCGCGAGGCGGGGCCTTGGGCCCAAAGGGCCTGCATCTTCTTTTCTCTCCCTCAGTCCCTCCCCTCCCACCCCTCTCTTTTCTTCAGAGGGAAGGAGAAAAGGGAAGAGGGAGTAGGTGAGACTGTCATGGCATTTCTGCAAGATGGCCCCACCCTCCTTCCCCTCCCTTCTCCACTCCCCCACCTCAGCACCTCCTTTCTGCCCCTTTCGGTCCCTCCTCTCCTCTGGTCTGCATCAGCCATACTGTCTCTCCGAATAGGCTCCTGTACCACCTCTGTGCCATCTCTGAGGAAGAACCCTAAAGCAAAGCACAGCGTCCACCTGGAGACCAGTGGCGGGGAGCCCCACTCTGCCTCCCAGGACTCAGGCCTGGGCGAGGCGGCCTTGGAAAGCAGTCCTTGTCCTCTAATGTAAAACGGAGCGATGTAGAAAAAGCAGAGGACTGTCTTCCAGCCTAGTCTGGGAAGGTTGGCAGGGGCTTCTACACTCAGCCTGGAAGAAGGGTAAACCTGAGTGAATCAGTTTCCAGTGAATCAGCCGGGAACACATTCTAGGTAGGGGACAGTTGGAGCAAAGGCCTGGGCAAAATGCAGCCTGGTACAGTGGGGGTGGGAGTAACAGCCACAGACACTTGAGCTCAGTAGAGGACGGTGAAGCACGAAGCTGGAGAGGTGGGCAGGGGTCCCTTTGCCCTGCTACAACCTTCAGTGGCTGCCTGCTGCCCAGAGGGCCAAACTCAGACCCTCTGATGGCAAGCAGGCTTATGCCATCCACTGCCCTCAGGGTATGGCCCAGCCTCAGCCTGGCTGCGGACCACCAGCCCAGCCCTCAGGAGTTCACTATGGGCTGCCTGTGCATGTGCAGCTGTGGGCAGGTCACAATGACCTGTGTGGCTTAGTGTCACTGTGGCCTGCTGGGTGGGCCCCTTCTGTTTTGTTGGAGTCCCAGCCTGCCTGGCTTTTAGCCAGAACTTGGCAAGCTTCATCTTTGTCCCCAGATGTCCTTGCAGATGAGATGGAGGTGAACTGGCAGGCTGCCAGGGGTGTCAGGTGGCATCACAGCTGGGTGGACAGTTCTCCCTGATTAATGAGGTGGTGGAAACCTGGGGGGAGTCTCTACTGGCATGCCTTCAGGCTCTGCCCTTAGCCGGGCAGGGCAAGGAATGAGGCTCACGTGGGCTGAGCAGCTACTACGTGTCAGGCTCTATGTAAAGCTCTTGGGACTCGGTGGCCTGTTACCACCCATGAGGTGAGTTTGGTACTGTCTCATTCTGCAGGTAGAGACACTGAGGCCATGTGGGTAAGGCACTATAGCCAAAGTCACTCAGCTGGGAAGGGGCAGAGTTGGTTTTCGAATGCAGGTTTGCACAAGTTCAAAGCCTGTGTCTGGAACCACTGGGCTGGGCTGCACCACTAATGCCTGTTGTGCTCCTCTCAGGCTGTGGGCCTGAGGGGTGGTGTGGCCATGCCTGTTTCAATTCTGTCACTCTCGTGGTCATCAGCACAGTGCTTTGCATGGAGTAGATGCTCAATAAGTACTTTCAGACTGGACAGTTGGGGTAGCGAGCTCCTCACTCTGTCTCTCCACCTCCACCCCCAGGAGCTGTAGGGGAGGGGGAGGAGGAAGTGAGGAGACTTGGAAATTCCGGGCTTCTAGACAAAGAGTGGGCTCAGAGGAGGATAGGCTGATGGGCTGGCCACACTGAGTCAGGTGCTGCTGAGGACGTGAATTCTGAGGGGGGCTTTGCATCTATCATGGGAGCGCTTTCTGATCAAGCACCTAAGCAGGGAGCCTTCAGGAGGACCCATATGAGGGAAGTGCATTCTCTTGGCCTCCAGAACCAGGGTCCTTTCTGGTGTGGGTGCCTCCCTGTAGCTCTAGAAAGATGTTAATCATAGTCTGGTGCTCAGATTGATGGTGGGGTTGCTGAGCAAAAAACAAAAAAAGTAACAGTCAAAGGCCACAGTGTTTGTTGAGCACTTACTATGTGTCAGGTATTGGGTATGCCATTTGTACTCTTAAGCACAACCCATTTTACAGATAAGAAAACTGAGGCACAGAGTAGTTAATGCCACAGGGCAGAGCTGGGATCTGATTCCAGGTGGGCCTATTTTCACTTCCACTGATCTCTTTCCTTTTGCACCACGCCAATACCCACAGACTCCTTGTGGCTTTTCCGAAGGCCCCCCAGCCTTGCTTTTAGACATCCTAGATGTGGAACTTTGGAGTAGTGATGCACCTCCCTCCGTCCCTCTGGGGCCATTTCTGGGAGCATTGAGGTTCTAGGCTGCAAAGCCCAGCTCTTCAGGACCACAGGTTTGCTGGGCCAGGGACCAGGAACACTTCCTCTGTGGACCCGCCTGCTAGGAAGGTGGAATGGACCTGACCACCACCACTGCCAAGGGGCCCTGGCTGAGGCTGAGCACTCCCCGGGCTCCCAGTGTGGCTGAGGCAGTTAGGGACAGTCAGGCCACAGTGGACAGACCTGTAGTCTCATCTCAGTCCTACGGAGTCCCACCATGGGACTTTGGCCAAAGTGCCAATCCCTTTGAGCCTCAGTTCCTCTGAGTAATGTTTGGGACTGGCCTTGTCCCCTCTGGGGCCCTATTGGAGAGGTCTGGGAACAGGATGGGGCAAAGTGAGGAGGCTTTTTGTTTTCAGGGGGCGGGGGGCAGTCACTACAGCCCTCACCTGGGGATTCCTTGTCTGCACAGGCAGCCCTTGACCCCCAGCCAGCCTCGAGGGGGAAGCAGAGAGACTGCTGGGAAGCGGGGTGCAGGAGGGCTGGCACTGCACAACTGGGAGCTCCAGTCTCAGCAGCACTTATAAATTGTATGACCTTGGCAGTGCTTTGCTGTTTGGGCTTCAGTTGTCTTATCTGGGAAATGGGTGTACTGGTTCAAGTATTGGCCTCAGGATAACGCTGGGAATATTAAGTGAAACCCCACTTTATGTCCAGAACACGGGATGTACTCAGTACATCGTGGCCTCTGTGGTTTATATGGCTGTGGGTGTTATTAGAGGTGTTGGGACTTTGGGCTAAGATTCTCAGTTCCTCACGCTCCCGAGCCCAGGGTAGGACCATAGTTCCTGGATGGCTTGTGGCAAGTGGAGTCACATGATGAGTGCTTGCCAATGAGATTTGTGTCTCTCCCAGACAGAGCATTTCTCTGCTCAGAGAGGCCAGAAATCTCTCCCTGGGCGGCCCAAGGTATGACTATTCAGTGGGCAAAGTCTCCCTGCCAACTCACTCGATATGTGGTGTGAATGGAAAACAAACCTTTGTTGTTTTAAGCCCTTGAGATTTGAGGGTCTTGTTATAGCTGTAAAGCCCATCCTGACCGTCAGGCATTTTATCCAAGTGTGACCCCTGTCAAAGGCCTGCAAAGAGCAAGGGGCTGCGGAGGGGACCTGGCAAAAAAAAAAGAGACTTCATTGCTGACCTACTTCTAGAATTGTTCCACTCAGACTCTCACTCTTTCATTTACCTTCTCACTGATTGCATACTTCATTCATTCATTCATTCATTCATTCATTCATTCAGCAAATGTCTCCTGAGTAGTTGTTTCAGAGGCCTGCGGGAACCCACAGAATGATGAGGAGCTGGAGATTGTTTTGCAGAGTAGCAGGGCATGGCCAAGAATGGGGTAAGGCTGGCCTCCCTTGTGGAGCTCAGAGGTGGGGACACAGAAAGGGCAGGGTGGGCATCAGACTTGCAGAGCCCCGCAGAGGGAAGGAATGAGATTCAGGGTAGTGGGTCCTGCTTGAGCATAGGCTGAGAAGTAGCAGAGACCTGGGCAGTTGGGTCTGGCCAGCAGAGATGGGGCCAGGTAATGGCCAGGCTGGAGGGAGACTTTGCCCTTTGGGTCAGTGCCCTGGGCTCAGTGATGAGGAGGAATCATTGGTAAAAGGAAAGACAAGTGGTTGGAGGGAGGGAGGCCAGATTTCGGGCTGGG